TGGATCCGTATCCAAGACATGTCTGGATTGATCAAGTTCAAACTTCACACACACAAGGTACATCATGTCAAAAATATGTATGTGCATTTGTTTCATGATCTCATTAACGATAGCCAAATGACGGCCGCTTTAAGGCCGAAGATGCATTGAAATCGCACATTTTCACCATTCCGGACCCGGATCTCAGTTATGCATGGACGGATTTTGTTCAAATTTGGTACATACATTAAACATAATAGGACCTTGATGCACGTCATTTTTTTTTTCGGATCAAGTTCGAAATGGCCGACTGGTGGCCATTTTGTTAAAGAATTCAGTTCTGGACCCGTATCCAAGACATGTCTGGATTGATCAAGTTCAAACTTCACACACACATGGTACATCATGTCACAAATAGATATGTGCATTTGTTTCATGATCCGCTTAACAATAGCTAAATGATGGCCATTTTAAGGCCGAAAATGCATCAAAATCACGTATTTTCACAATTCCGGAATCGGATCTCAGTCATGCATGGATGGAGTTTGTTCAGATTTAGTACTATGTGTTGTACATATTCAGGTGCATTTCGGTCATGATCTGCTTTGAATGTATATGTCACTCAAATATGAACAGAACGGGGACGTGTCATTGACAATGACTTGTTGTATTTTAGTTTATATCTTGTTTGACTGCCTTGCCTTTGCTGGTATCTCTGTTGTATCTGTACCAGGTGCTGGCAGCCTCGTTTTGAGTACATGTGTGTTATTTGCTTGAGTCTTATTTAATAAATTTCATTGCAATACTTTACCTGTTTGTAGTGTTTTTTACAAATGTTATTATTTGACAGTTTCAAAGGAAAGCAAATTTACCACCTAGTTATCGATGCATATAATTTGGGACCCTAACCATATTACACAAGCTGATACACTGGGGGGGGGGGTATGCTTTATACAGATAATTGTTTTTGAAACTTTAAGTATATTGATGGTAAATTAGTTGGCTCACTTATCATCATTAACACTTAAAATGTTTTTTTTTACAGCGTTGAACTAGTACGAGATGGGCTTCAGTTGTATTTAGAAAACAAGCGTGACGTAATTCCCAATCAGGTTGAACTATCATTGTTATGTATACAGTGCATGGAGGTAAGTATTATTTAATGCCTGCCTATTTATAGCAGTAGTAGTGGTAGTGATGATTTTAAAATTCACTGTTAAGTATAAGGGAAATGTGTTATTTGAAACCACCTTTTTTGACAGTCAATTTGGATATTTTGCCAGATCTAGATTATAGATTCTGTACTAGCAATTTGAATATTGTCAAAGAATTGTCTTCTGGGGTTTCTTTGTTGCAACCTTAGGTCACAGCAGTGGATATGTTATTTCAAATCAAAAATGCTCAAATTGAAATATTCTATTCACATACTGGGTGTTGGTCCTTTTGTCAGAGTAAAAGTCGCGTCAAAGCTCAATGAAATACTGCTTTCTAGTGTCAGGATTCAAACTAACCACACTTCAATACCACATTTATACCAAAGTCACTAGTATAACATGTTGACCAATAAGCTGAATACCCGGTACACCAACATTCGACAATACCACTTCCCAAATCACTGATTATACCAGATAATTCCAAATATTTCACAGTTCTACCTCACTTATGTACACCCAAACTAAGGATTTCACTTGTCAATCCATTATTATTCCTATTTCCGCGAAACGGGGACTTATAATTCGGTCTCCTTCCGTCTGTGCATCCGTGCGTTCGTCCGGAGTCATATTACAGAATCCCTTGGACCGATTTTGTTCATTCTTTGCATGTGCCTAGTACTTTATGTGGGACATATGCACATGCAGTGGTTTAGCGATTCGATTCAAAATGGC